GCTCTACCATTCTTTTAGCACTTTGCTTTAATTCTTCACAACTGAACAGATCAGCAAAACTCAACAATCGCACACAATTCTCTGCATTGATTTTCTTAATTAAGTATTCTCGACAACGCTGTAATACATCTTCTACCTAAAATGGGAGGAAACAAAAGGTTGATAAAGACAGGACAAATTTTACTTTTACTGTAAAACACAAGCATATTAATCAGATCCCTATACTACGGTTTGTTTTTTTTTTTTTTTTAATTTATTTTTTTTTTCAACGTTTATTTTATTTTTGGGACAGAGAGAGGCAGAGCTTGAACGGGCGAGGGGCAGAGAGAGAGGGAGACACAGAATCGGAAACAGGCTCCAGGCTCTGAGCCATCAGCCCAGAGCCCGACGCGGGGCTCGAACTCACGGACTGTGAGATCGTGACCTGGTTGAAGTCGGACGCTTAACCGACTGCGCCACCCAGGCGCCCCTAGATTTGTTTTTTCTTAAGGAGGAGTAGATCTTGGCTGAATCAGAACTGCTACCTACTATACTTATTCACACAGCACACTAACTAGAAGCAGCTTAGACTGAGAAGTCAGGTTGCTAAGATTGGATGGTCAGTACTTGTATAGTATTAGGGAGCTTTACTTCTCCAAGCTTCAGCTTTCTCTTGTATACAATGGGGAGAGCCTTACCAACGATCACAGTAAGGATTAGATGATATCTATATGTCATCTATATAGATAAAGCAGGATATATATCTAAAACATTATACATAACCTAGATAAAACAGTATGTGGCATATAAAAACACTACCACTCCCTGTGTCTAATAATGAAGATCATGTTGGTGTCACAAAATGCCCCATCCCAGGCCTGTCAGGGCAACCCAGTAAAAGAGACAAGAGTCCTGTTTTTCATTTCATGAGCGTATGCATATGAGTTCACTAACATGTTAGGGAAAAAGTTAGGAACAGTGTTCCTACCTCCAGTAATAAAGTATTTTTTAAATTCCTGGCTTTAAAAAAGGTATTGAAAACTTACAAACTACAGAAAGACAGTGCACATATTGTAGCATTTCCCCCTTTCATGTTTGGATCTAGGTTATGAATGCCCTTGATTCTAAAGCGCCAGTGGGCGCCCTGGGTGGCTTAGTTGAGTGTCCGACTCTGGCTCAGGTCATGATCTCACGGTTCATGGGTTCAAGCCCCACATCAGGCTCCACACTGTTGGTGCAGAGCCCACTTGGGATTCTTGCTCTTTCCTCTCTCTCTCTCTCTGACCCTCCCTTGCTCACACTTTCTCCCTCTTTCAAAAGAAATAAACTTAAAAAAAAAAAAAAAAGGCACCATGAAGCTACTATGGCTTCAGTTTCCCCAGAGATGTAGGTACAGTGGGACAATGCACAATTTTCTAAGGAAAAAAAGAGTACAGAATAAAAAAAGGAAGAAAGCTACATAAGACATGGACTATACTCTGGTTCCCAGAATTTCACCCATGTTGATGTTCAGTGTCACTCATACTCATTCAGCACATACGTATGAAGTACCTACTTTTCTAAGGCTTTACAAAAATAAAAAAAGGGCACTTAAATTTAATAAACACTTTTAAAAATTACTTCTACTTAAAATCTAAATTCTCAGGTAAACCAGGCAAAATATGAAACCAGTATGAAATTTTCACCCATCTTTTTAATTAAGTTCCCATCATAAAAGAAGTTTATTGGCTAATCAAATCCTATTATCTTTCCCATATGCATTTTTTTCCCCTTACACATTTTTTAAAAGTTTTATTTAAATAATCTCTACACCCAACATGGGGCCCAAACCCAGAATCCCAGGATCAAGAGCCATCTGCACTTCCTACTGAGCCAGCCAGGCGGAGCTCCCTTATATGCTTTAAAAAGAGAAAATTTGGGGCGCCTGGGTGGCGCAGTCGGTTAAGCGTCCGACTTCAGCCAGGTCACGATCTCGTGGTCCGTGAGTTCGAGCCCCGCGTCAGGCTCTGGGCTGATGGCTCAGAGCCTGGAGCCTGTTTCCGATTCTGTGTCTCCCTCTCTCTCTGCCCCTCCCCCGTTCATGCTCTGTCTCTCTCTGTCCCAAAAATAAATAAACGTTGA